AAAAGTTTCAGTGAAATGTCACCTACAGCAATCAAACCTATGATTGATTGATCATTTATTATTGTGTATGGCCAGCATAAGACTCATTAAGGGTAATGCACAATACCATATTACAGGGTATAATATGTCTGATCAGCTAAAAATGATTCGATCATACCGAAAACGATGAGACTAGATGGATTCATTTCTGGGAAATATGAGCTGGATGAAGAGAGAGAAGGGACAACTCAGACTATATAATCAATTTTCCTTGTATCAATCAACTCCTTTACTTAGTTTTTGTCAAAAACCCCTTAAAGGGTAATTCCACCTTCTCCGAGTCTTCCAAGCCAGGAATTTGCTTTGTGACAGATTCCCTTTTAATAAGAATTCAAACATTTAAAGGTCTCTGGATGGAGGTGAGATAAGCATCATTAGTATTACACTCATCTTCACAGCCCTAATAGAGATCTGTGGATCTAAAGTTCAATATGCAGCATGCTTCTCGGCACAAGGTGCCACCCTGCATGCAGCCAGAATAAGTGGTCACCCCCAATATAGCCTAGGGGGATTTCACTGTTTAAGATGATTTCACAATCTACAGGTCTGAATAATAAGAACCTCCTTCATCTTTAAACTAGCTGTTTTCCTGTCTCTCAGAATGATCCCTTCAAACCTGATTCATCATTCCAAGTTTTAGAACGCCCACAGACAATAGCCTACATGATCAGACTGCTCTCAGGGCTTCAAATTTCTCCAGTGATACTATACACCTAAAACATTGAACAAGTTTATGCCAGTGGAGAGAAAAACAACAACTAGAGATACCAGGGTAGACCCACAGACATGAGCCTGACACCTGATCAAGCTGGGTCAGGTGACTTTTATTCATGTGTGCAGGTAGCTTAAAGTTTCTTATATCACCATAATGTCCGGGGGAAAAAAAAGAACAGTAAATTGGCTAAAATCTACTGGATTACAAAAATCAGAAGACCTAACATTGTTTCAACATGAAAATGCAATTTCAGTTGCAAAGAAAACAAATTTATTAAAATGTTAAACTGTTGCATTTTCTACCACTGAAACACAAATGCCTGTCCGGTATTAAACGTCCTTTATAAACGGTTCAGTTTTGGTCTTTAACCCTCAAGAAAGATGTCCTAGACCTTGGAGGAGTTCAGAGAAGGCCAACAAAATGAATAAAGAGGATGTAAGGCCTCAATTATAAAAATTGTCTCCAGAAGTTAAGCGTCTCTTCTCTGAGGAGAACAAGTTTTAGGCCTTGTTCACACGAAATGCAGAACAGAACTGCATGAGTTTCTGCACACGCAGTGCAGTGGGTTGTGCCGCGTTTTTGATGCGTTCCGGGCCGCTTTTGGTAAAAAAAATAAAAATGTGTTTTTTTTTAGAATGGGCTTTTAGTGCGTTCCAGGGCGTTTGCATGCATTTTTGATGCGTTCCAGAGCAGGTAAAATAGGGCTTGCTGCATTTTTTACATGCTCTGGAACCGAATGCTGCGGTGTGACCTAGGGCCCAAAATACCATTGGAATACATTGGACGCAGTTTTTATCCGGTCTGTAACTGCTCTGCTCCTGGAACGCGCTTGGTGTGAACAAGGCCTTAGAAAGGCTATGATTGCAATTTTTAAAATGATTAATGGGAACCAAAGTATTGGGAATAAACTGTTTAAACTAAGAACTCTAAAGAGGACTTGAGGTCCCAACAGTGAGGTTGAAAGAGAAGCAGTTTCATCTAAGACTGCCATGAGGAGTTTTTCTACTGTGTGAGCAGTAACATTTTGGAATTCCTTGCCCAGATAGTGGTAATAGCTGAGAGCATTGATACATTCAATAACCACTTAGATCAATTTTTCAGTATACAAAATATACAGCGAGATGGGAACTATTAGTGACATGGCCACTTTTGTTCCACGTGGTCCCTGTGTGTATTGTAAAGTAGCCACCAATCATAACTCGCTCTCGTGATAGACTACAATAGCAATACAAATTAGTAAACTGAATTTAAGATTATAGTTCACCACAGGAACGAGCTTGGACTGGTGGCTACTTTACAACACACAGGGATCATGGGGAATAAAAGTAGCCACCCTCCAGAAGGAAGGGCAGTGTCAGCACTAATTCAGAGATGATTTGAGGATCTACAGCTGAGTGATACACAAATACATTTTTTACTAGTAATGGTATTTAAATGCATTTTTAGATAATGTTCCTTTATTTAAACTGTGTCCTTGGAAGAACTTGTAAACTTGCCAATCTGTAGAGTCACCATTTCAGATGTCTGTGTGAGTTTTAAGTTAATTTCTGCAATAGCCCAAAAGTCCCAATATGTGGGGTGGTTTAATAATTAGGATGTAAATAGGGGCTCTCGAAGATCTATGGAAACACACAAAGGATGCATAAATCTCTAGCTTTGCTGAGGACAGATACAGTATGGATTTTTGTTTGGTTAAAATACATACTTTACATGTTTTAACCAAAGAAAAATCCATTCAAACATGCCAGCATTTATAATGTGCAGAAATGCATCCTCAGCATTCATATGTTAGAGTTTAAAAGAAAAACCAGAGCAAAGTTTCAATTTACTGACTCCAGTTAGCAAACACTCCCAGGATTACACATGCATTGAAAAACGTTCGGAGTTCATTAACCTACAGTCCCTGTAGTGTAGTAGATGATACAATGGCATTGCAACTTCTGAAAGGATTATACCTAAAAGACATTACTACTATATTGTTAATTTCTCACAATATAAATAGGTAATGCAACTGCCTTTAAGCTCATGAAACACGCCTTACACAAATGATTCTCAGTACATAAAATTTCATTAAGCATCACACTGAAGTAATGTTGGCCAAATGTGGGCCAGTATTTGGTCAATTTGCCAAAATGTCTGCTTGCATTCCAGACAGATGGCAATCATTTAGATACAGCTACATATTCTGAATTACTAAAATCCAGGCATGATTCTACAGGTTTGGTGGTGGAAGACCCCAGTATCTGCACACAGACAGCTGTCCCAGAAACAGTCTGTCCAGTAACCTTGAGCTTTGACCAGCAACAGATTTTGATTAGCCGATTCAAGCAAATGTAATATGCAATGCGAGAGCTTAGCACAGCTATTATTACTAAATAGTCTTTAAAATTGTGTTGAAATTCTCAACCACACTCTTGCAGAGTGTGTCTATTCATTATGGGGTGAACACAGTTATTGCTTGAGGTGCACAGGGACCCATAACAACAAAAATGATTAGTATATTAGTGCAGCATTATTAAATAAACTGCTATGCAGAAAATATAGAACGTGAATCGGTCATTATGAAATCCCACTTCTTGCAGTGTGATCATCCAATATTATTACAACTCCATATATTTCAGTGCATTAATAGTGCCAGCGAACATGCACTTGTAATTAGTATTTAAAGTTGCCTGCGGCAGAATGCTGTACAGTGTATATTACGTAAGCTGTATTATTTATCATATTAAAAATTAAAGCTATAAAAAGATGGGATACAAAACTGTTAGGTTCCTTTCACACGAGCGTCATCAGCAAAAAAAAAGAATACTAAATCAGTTTTCACATCCATTTTCAGTTCAGTTCCACTTGCATCCGTTTTTCACAAGTTCTTTTTTTTGGGTTTGTTGAAGAAAAAAAAAAAAGACAGTTTCTACTGCTACTTTCTCAGTGAGGGTGGCCCAGTTTGGAACACCTTCTGCCATAGCCTCTCCTTCACCCTATAACTGTATTGCCAGCAGGGGGTGTCCCATAGGCCTGGCATGACATGGACCAAATTAATAAGTGTCTTCTCATAAGAGACATCCCTGACCATGACAGCTGCACAAAATGAATGCAAAGAACATCTTGTGCATATCCCTCCTTGTGCACCAAGTCAAGGTGGGCAAAAGTAATAATTTTAAAATGAACGTTATATAAATGGACGTAAACTGACGACGTCTACTTTCATCCGCTTTAATCCATTCAGTCTAGTCTAGGCCCGCAAAAATGGAAATGGGAGCAAAACTTTTCTGTTTTCTTTTCCGGACCTAAACCAAGACGCATGTAAGTGAATGTAAATAGACACACATCTGTTTACCATGAAATTGCCATACATTGGGCATCAGTCTGAAATACTGGCAGACTGATCTACACTGAACGCTTGTGTGAAAGGGATGACATAATGAGATTGAAAGGCCTTTTCACAGAGTCTCTAATGTAAAACATGGGTTATGTTGTACAAATAAGTTATTAAATTAATTCATGTAGGTCTAAAAGTTCCCAGTACATTTACACTATGAAAGCACATCTGTATTCAAAGCTTAGGTCCACTTCAGGACCTAGGCAAGGCATGGCAGGTATATTGGAATAAGCGTACAATTCCTTTTTTAGCAAGAAATCCTATACTGCTCTGGTTCCGAATCACATGGCATCCAGTATAAAGTCATGATCTGCAGCACCTCGGCACTAGGGACACTGAGATCAGAATACTCAATACACTCCCAGCATTAGATCATGTGACCAAAACCAGAGGGCCACAGGGTCTGCTTGTTACTGCACACAAGTAAAGCTTTGGTCAATATCCCAACCCTCCTTCCTTAAAGTACAAGTAAACACAAGAAAAAGATGGAGAGGAGCATAGGTTTGCAGTCCAATTTAGGAGAGTAGCCTACGATGACAACACTGCTCCTCTATAGATACTGTGAAGAATTGGATCACCCAGTGAAGATAAAAACTAATGCAGCCACTACATCTAAGGTTAAATAATCATTTGTTTTTGGTTTTAGATAAAATTACGTTCCAATTAAAGTAATGTGTAAGTATGCAACGATTTCATGCTGAGAAGAGGCTGCAGCAAGGTGAACTTTGACCTTGAATGGTATTATTCAACAATTATTCTGATGTGTGCAGGAAAGTACTGCCATCACAACAATAACTTTATCTTATAGTTCTGTAGGTATGTTGGTAATATTTTTTATTATTATACATAAGCTAAGCTATGCTTTAGGCTTATCGATTAGTTCACTGGTTTAAAGCTTTGATTTGATATTTTAGTATAGTTACCCTTGTTTTAATTTCCCTCATATATCCAGTAACCTATAAAAATTACCTTGATGGCAACTTCATTATCGACTAACAGTTTGCCCATGGGCACAGCAATGCTCCAGTTAGATTATGCGTTATATATCCAGCAACAGCAAGCCCAGGATTATACTTTATTAGTACATGTGTGCAGTCTAGATGCGTTTGGCGTCATTTGAGATAATCAAAGAACCATCCTCCTTACTCCACATTCGCAGCAGAATTTTGCCCACTGGACAGGATACTTCGTGCCACATTCGTGACAGAACTTGGAAAGCTGTCCCGACCCATTCTTATCTTCAGATTTTATACGTTCACCATTAACAATCTCTGAATGGTCCACAACACCGTATCCGGTCTTCCCATCAGGCCTAGAAGTTTAAAGATAAGAAATAGTATAAAACAATTCTGTAAATCTTAAGCATAAGCATTTAATATTATTAAATATTCCAAAGGATACACAAAAGTAATAATTCTCATGCATGCAAATATACAGTGGTACCTCGGTTCACAAACTTAATTGGTTCCGCGATTCGATCCCATGTCAAATGTTACTACTCTGAACTTTGCATCCCATGCAGAATGCTACTGCTCTGAACTTTGCATCCAATGCAGAATGCTACCGCTCCGAACTTTGCATCCAATGTAGAATGCTACTACTCCGAACTTTGCATCCAATGTAGAATGTTACTACTCCGAACTTTGCATCCAATGTAGAATGCTACTACTCCGAACTTTGCATCCCATGTAGAATGCTACTACTCCGAACTTTGCATCCAATGTAGAATGTTACTACTCCAAACTTTGCATCCAATGTAGAATGTTACTACTCTGAACTTTGCATCCCATGTAGAATGCTACTACTCCGAACTTTGCATCCAATGTAGAATGCTACAGCTCTGAAGTTTGCATCCAATGTAGAATGCTACTACTCCGAACTTTGCATCCAATGTAGAATGTTACTACTCCAAACTTTGCATCCAATGTAGAATGCTGCAGCTCTGAAGTTTGCATCCAATGCAGAATGCTACTACTCTGAACTTTGCATCCAATGTAGAATGTTACTACTCCAAACTTTGCATCCAATGTAGAATGCTGCAGCTCTGAAGTTTGCATCCAATGCAGAATGCTACTACTCTGAACTTTGCATCCAATGTAGAATCCTACTACTGAAAACTTTGCATCCAATGTAAAATCCTACTACTCTGAACTTTAGAACAGGGATAGGCAACCACAGCTGTGGTGAGATCTATGAATCCCAGGCATTGCATGACTCTGACAGCCGCAGACATGGCTCCCAAAGGCATGATAGGATTCATAGCTTCGCCACAGGTGGAGTGCCAAGGTTGACTATTCCTGCTTTCAACACTCTGTGGAAGTAGGTGTTTTGTTTTGTACTTTTTGTAATGAACTGCTACCAAAAAGCTCACAGTGTAATGAAGGTAAAGCATTGCTGTCCATCTGTCGTGTCCCCTCTGTAAATACAAGTAAACAAAATACAGCAGGCCTAGAACACGTTCCAGTTCCCAAACTTTTGTACATGGGGAACAGGTACAATAATCATGAAAGTCAAAGAATTGTCAGACATCCTTAATGCTTGCTTATTTAGGGTTGAGATAAGAGAAACCACATGACAAGTCAAGTAACTAGCATTTTCAGTTGGAGGGATGAACAATGGCAGACTCTATATTCTCTCATCAAAGGTTAGGCCCCATTTACGTCTAGGCAAGTTGTAGCTTGTTTCCCTAAAATTGACAATGTTCAAAAAGAGGCATTCTATTGTTTTCAATGGCCCCTGTTTACACCTAAGCTTTGTGTTGCTTGTCGGTAGTCGCACAAAGCTCTAAAAAATACATGAGCGTCTTTTGGGGCAGAATCCTGTGTTTTGGCCTCGTAGATCTTAATGGGAGCACACTCGCATTTAAAAGGCTATGGGGCCAAATACACATGACTCTGCTCCTGAACTCTGACCCTACAATCAATTTCTGTACTACATTGTCTGAAGGTGAGAGACATGTCATTCATGAGCGATTACCTATAATGGACATTGTAGACCACATTCACAGGCCCGCAACAGCCTCACAAAGAGATTTCAATAAAGAGGTTTTGGCAAATAAAGCAAATTTGAACATTTCATTAATTTTAGACCACATTAAAAACCTGCTCTGGGAATTGTTGTTTTATGTTCATTATTGGAAAGTCACGCAGAGGGCAAACAAAACTCTACACCAAAGTTCCTTTTGGCAAATAACTTTCTAGATAGTAAAACCTTGACATTAGGACAGTGGAGCAGCAAAGGGTCAGACTAAAGAGATAAAATACAGTACTATCTATCTCAGTTACAGGATTTGTAGGCAGCAAAATGAATACTTAGGTCCTGTTCACATTTCTACTTTTTAGGTTGACTGTGAGCAGGCTCTGCATGCATTTTACATGCGTTACCACTGTTCCCTATGTAAGGCATGTTTTTCTGGAAAACCTACATTTAAAGATGCAGCAAGCAGGACTTTTTAACAAACTGCACTAGTAAGGGCCTGTGTCGAGAGACTTCTATTTGAGTCAGAACTGCTTCTCTCCTCATGCAAGTCATTATGAATGCAAAAGCTTGATGAACAAGGTTGATGGAGCTTAGAAGAAGGTCAAATGCACTAGTCACTTAATTCTGAATGATCTATGAAATGTCTGAAACTGATGTCAAGTGCAAATTTGCATATGAGGAATGTGGATTCAAGAATGATCTTGTGTGTGCGTCTCCACAAACACACAGGCAAAGCAAATCAAGCTGAACACCCCTCCCCCGCGCCACTCTCCTCCCTACTCCAAGCTAGTAGATAAACAGTTGCTGGAGTCTGCACTGTCCTTTGTGACCTAGTACTGGACAGGAAGTACAGGGAAGCTGAACTGAGAGACATGATTGTGTTAGGGCAAAAATGTACAGCAATGCTTTGTTGGGCAATGCATATTTAATTGATCTGAATTCATTATTGAAATATAATTTGAGAGTTTAATACTACTTTAAGGTATAATGTAATAAGAGCAAGGTGCCGTTGCCCATAGTAACTGATGAGAATTTTCCTTTTGGAGAGTTTAATACTACTTTAACAAGAGACATCTAGCTTTGTAAGGCTAGCATTACTTCCCCAAGATGTGGTTTCCTAGAGTCCTTTAACAGAGTGGGGAGGGGCTAGACCCCCATCATGTATTTTTGTGCACTCTTTGTATTCCTTTCACAGTGACCCCCTCAGCCCCTTTATTTCCCTGATGTCACAGGAGCAAGTAAGAGATGGGAAATCTCTCCAGTGGCATCAGACAGAAAACCAAATAGAAGTTCTCACTCATTTCGGTGCTATCCCAAACGAAATAACTAAACTAAAAGTTAGGTGAAAAGGTACAGGCATGTTTGGCCTTGCACAGCTGTAGATTGAAGATAACCCTAACTGGAAATAAAAGTATGTGCTGATTTGTAAACTGGAAAGCTCTTTACATAGCGGAAATCATTCATGGAATCCAAACAAATTGCTGCATCCTAATCCATACAGGGCCACATGGTTCATATTAAGAATCCATCCTGTTCAGTTTTATCAACAGGAAAAGAACTTGTAAATGGGCCAAATAAACACAAACTACAACCTGGCACACAAACCTCAGTGTGTAAATGGGTCAGCAGCTTTAAGAAAAACGAAAAATATTTGAGATTAGAAGGCCAGAGACATTTCCCTAAATAAAGGTGACTTCCCGACAAAGCATCCTATTTAAGGACACTGTAGGCAGCATCTAGTGAGCTTACTTTAGTGCAAAAATAAATTACATTTATAAATTATCATTCCATTTAATTTTTATTTTTTTTACAAGTCAGAGCAGATATCCCACGAGGAGGGGCAGGAAGATAGTCGTGGTCTGTCGCACTTTGCAGTTATAATTTACCAAATGGAGTGAAGGGGTCTCCTATGGATAGGCACGTTGTTCCCTCTTCTCACAGATAACAGGTAAAGACCAGCCAGATTGCACAGAACTTTTTCAGTGAGTTAGAAAATCTGAAATCATTAAAGCCGGCCCATACACTGACAGGGTATTCACTAAGGAGTGAAGAGTTTGGAGAAGTGAACAATCTAGGACAATATAGCTGAGCTGGAAAGTGAGCTGAATTGGAGATTTCTTTCCAAATCAGCTATGTTGTCCTAGATTGTTCACTTCTCCGCCTTCTCCAATCTCTTCACCCTTTTGTGAATAATCCTGTGAGAGATTTTTGTACCAATATTCATACAAAAAAAATGTATCTCATCAGAACATTCCATAATGCCATCAGAGACATGTAGAATGTGATTCGAAATTTCATTTTAATTTAACATTTGATTTTGGAATGAAAGGAGTTTCCTGAATGGAAACCGACTTCACTATTAGAATTTTGTTGGTTGAGAAAACATTTTCATCCAGCGCCTTAGATTATTTAATGTGTAACTGGGGTTGAAAACAATTCTGAATTTGACCCCAATAACAATTAAAAAATGGATCAAATGTTCTGAAAAAAAATTTTTTTGACAAAATTCTACTGCTGATAGAAGGCTTTAGTTTCCCTGCTTAACAAATGCGGAGATAATAAATGAACCACATAGGGAGTGCATTGGTTTTAGTGGAATGGCTGACTCCTAGGGGTCTATTTATAAACAATTCGTAGAGCCATTTGCCCTGTGTATTTCTAGACGTTCATTCTGTACGAGATGAAAAAAAAATTATTCTTGATATATTTTCTTTTCAAGTCAAATGTTATTTCAAAAGTTATAATATAATATCGCATTATGGACACTAGAAAGAGCTGAGGAGCATAGGAAATAAGTATTTATAAGGTGCATTTAAGTACAAATAGGATCATTGAAGATAGACTGACTTATACTATGTTAAATATTAAACAATTACAAAGATTGATTCAAGGTGGAGCTGTGGAAAAACAGTGGATGAATATATTTTTTAGAGGCAATTCCTTGAAAATTGAGATTTTGGGAGTCCCTTTCCACCTTTAAAACTACAATGGTATGTATACCATGTATACACTGTGTATAGAACTTGATGATTTATGGGACCATAGACCGCTGCAGCAGAGGGAGACATAGGCTCCAGGGACCAGTCAAACAGCAAGCCGGCTCAAGAGGGTCAGGCGAGTATAATTTTTTTAATCTTCCTCCCTAGACACAAACGAGCACTTTACTATTGTGCGGGCGTAGCCCCACTGCAAGGGTTAATAAAACATTTCCCCAGAGTTGTTCTTTAATATAAAAAAGTATTAAAAAAAAAATGTACATAAAAAAGGCCTGAGAAAAGAAAAATAATGCAGCCACTTCATCTGGTAAGCTGCAATGATTACATTGTTTGTTTTTTGGGTTAAATGTAATGCAAAAGCTACTGCTGAGATATGACGCAGTTTTCTGAGCAATCACCATAAGCTGAATGCAGCTTTAGGCTCCATCCACACCTAGGTGTATTGTCGCAGCCGATTCAGCTGAAATGCTCCACTCAAGGAATCCTGTTCATTTCCATGTTACCCGTTCACATCTGTGAGCTTTATCGCAAGCAGAAATATGCCTGTCGCTCTAAATAGTACATGAGCTACTTTGGGGCAGATTTCAGCGCGTTTTGTCGCATAGACTTAATAGAAATCGCTTGAAAACGCACATTGCGATTTTTGTGTGTGTATTTTTGCGTGCATTTCGTCCATTCAAATGAATGTGCCAAAATCTGACAAAAACGTGTGACTTAATATACACACAAAAAACGCTCAAAAAAGATTGAGCCTAATAGGTGTCCCCTAGGTGTGAATGGAGCCTTACAGGAAGCACACATGTACACGTGATCAGGCACACACTCTGGAAGAGTACACAATACCTGGTGTAGTTTTCAGCATTGTAGGTTTTCCTTTTGTTAGCAGATGCAGCTGACGGCGGATTTCTGGCCAAACTTGGCGGTGTCTTTGACTTAATTGTACCTCTGAAATGACACATCAATTACTTAAATAAGCTCAGAAATGCAACATACTGCAAATTACATTATGCAACGGTCTGAAAAGAAACACATTTAAGAGCTTAATGGACCAGCCCATTCCTTGATGAGGTGCCTTTGGGTACACACAAAAGAACTGAAACACAGGCATTTGTGCAGGTACTTGTAGACTGAGTTGTGATTTACATAAAACGTATGTACAGTCCAGTTTTTAATTTTTTTTTTACATTTGGATTGAGGGCGTGAAAAAAAAGTTTAGTAGCAATGCAACTGAATAAAGGCAACACAGATATTGGATCACATTTCTGGCTTCAAGCCAAGCTAAGTCGTAGTGTAATACCAACCAAAATGTTTTTTCTTTTTAAGTAGTAAGTAGGGATGCACAGATACTTTTCGAGTACCAGTGCAGATACTTGGCATTTTCATGAGAACTCCCGGGGTTGCAGAGGTTGCAGCTGGGACCTGGCTCTGGTGCTCCACCACTGTCCTGAAATCATTAGTCTGTATTGTTTTAGAAAAACTGTCACATGACAATAAACAAAAATGCATCAGTACTCGTACTTGTAAGTACTCGGCAAGTACCAGTACTCGCAAAACTGGTATCTGTGCATCCCTTTATTCATATTTATAAAAACAAAATCGTACATTATAACAGAGATGTACAAATCCCAGGAGCTCCGTGTGCTCCTTACAAATGACAGCTGCCTCCTAATTTTTGAATTTTTCTCTAGTGTAGTCTTGGAGCTCAAAAGTATCGGTACATGTACTTGTACCGAGTACTGTACTTAGTATCTGTGCAACCCTAGTACTAGTAAGTGTTAAAATTTCTGACATTGATGTTTGGATCCCCTTTGGGAACCATTCCTATTAATTCCTTTCTCAATGACCATTGTTAATCAGACAGGATGTTGGAAAAATGTTCTCGAATGGGAAGAAAGATGACAATATAAACCCAAGAATGGTTGTAGCCCTTCACTACCGTATTAATAACAAACAAAAAAAAAAAAAAGATTTGGATGGAGTTCTACTTTACTGTGGCCCAAGGATCAAATCATGAATTTCAATTTTAACATAAGGAGCACTAATAAGCCCATTGGCCATTTATTAAATCCACAGATCAGGTCTGGTCCACACAGAAAGTGAATGTGAAAAAAGGGGGTCCAATGGAACCCAAAGTAGATCCATTATCACCTGAAAGCAATTCTGATGGGGTTGTCATAAACATAGGTAGCAATTTTTCATTAAAAGTACATTCAGGGTAGAGCTGATTTACAATGACGTACATCAACTGTAAAATTCTCTTTTACATTTCTCATGGATGAAATCCATGGTTATGTAATTCTAACCAGCCAGGGTGATATCGCTATTCAGTTCCAATTACTCAGAACTGAAGCATTCCAGGAAAATCACCAGGGTACAATCATCTTCGCAGACACATTCAGATTCATTGATACCTATATCTTCCTAGCCCCTGGGATCTGCAGTCATGGGAAATCATGAATACAATGGAAACTATACAACTGTAACAGTATGATATTTATGTAGCTACATATTATTCCTGTTTAAACGAAGTCCTGCCACTTTGCCTGTCGACAGGTCTTCTTGTAAGAAAAAGCCTCCCCATTCAAAGCTCACTCCGGGTTAACTTCTTCCGCTTTCTCTTCGTGAGTTTTCAGTATGGCAACTGGCCGCTTGGGCCCAAGCACTGCATCTTGGGGGGAAGTCGCATGCTCCTCCGTAGCTGGAAGTACCAGGTATTTATATCTGAACAATGGAAAAGCTTGAGAGCTTTGCAAAGGTGAGCACCAGTGGGCGAAGGTCCGTTTCAAAAGATAACCTGGCCTGAATGGGCAAAGTGACAGATTCTATTTAAAAAGAACCTGTCGCAAGATCCTTTATTTCAACATCTATCTTCTGATAAGATTGTATGTGCATTTTACATGCCCAAAGACTGCCACTGGGTAGTGATGTGATGTCAGCAACCCAAATAGGCTTGCAGCTTTCAGTCAAGTGACAATATATAAGCCATCCACAACTCTGCTCCTGGCTATATCTCAAACTTTGTCTCAAAGTATCACCCTAACCTTGCCCTCTGCTCTTCCAAAGACCTTCTGCTTTCCAGCTACCTCGTCAACTCCTCCCATGCTCGCCTCCAGGACTTCACTAGAGTCTCTCCCATCCTCTGGAACTCTTTACCCCAAGCTGTCCGTCTATCTCCTACTCTGACTGCCTTTAGGCGATCCCTTAAGACTCATCTCTTCAGGAAAGCCTATCCCACCTCAACCTAACCAGTGAACTATCACGTTCTCATACAATTCATTCCCACACAGCTACCTCCTCATGTTTCACTTGCCCCTCCCTTTTAGATTGTAAGCCGTCACGGGCAGGGCCCTCCTTACCATCTTGTCTTGAATTGTATTGTGATTGTAACGTCTTTCTTATATTGTAAAGCACTGCGCAAACTGTTGGCGCTATGAAAATCCTGCTGGCTGTCAAAATACCTGAATCCAATCAGATTGTTCAGGTATTTTGAGAGCCAGCAGGGCCGACTAGCAAGATACTGAAGTTTGGCCCAGTGGAAGATTCCTCCATCCATACAGTTTAGCATAGATGGAGGAATCTGTTGCACTTTTTCCATCTGACCATAGAAAATCTGCAGATAATCTATAGTTGTAGGCCAGCTTAAAGCAGAAGTAGGAGGTGTGCTGCTGCCAGTGCTAGAGCCATCTTATCATGGGGAAAATTGTAGTAACCATAAACCTGATAAAACTTGCTATGCTCCAAAGGAGTCTTAGCTGATGGTGTCTGAAGGTCCAAAGAATATGGATGGATTCATTCTACAAATACTGTATGTTTGGCAGATCAGTGGTTATCTGAGCTTTCAGCTTGGCGCATCTTTCGGCAGGGTTAGGAAAATAAAATGTAAAAAAAATGCTGCCGGGTATTAAGTGCAGACACCTAAAGGTGCCTATACAGGTGAAACTCGATTAGAATATCGTGCAAAGTTCATTTATTTCACTAATGCAACTTAAAAAGGTGAAACTAATATATGAGATAGACTCATTACATGCAAACCAAGATAGTTCAAGCCGTGATTTGTCATAATTGTGATGATTATGGCTTACAGCTCATGAAAACCCCAAATCCCCAACCTCAAAAAAGTAGATTATTACATGCAATCAATAAAAGAAGGATTGTACATAGAACAATAATCGGACCTCTGAAAAGTACAAGCATGCATATGTACTCAGTACTTGGTTTGGGCCCCTTTTGCAGCACTTACTGCAATTACTTTTGCACGATATTCTAATTATTCGAGTTTCACCTGTATATGCCTACAGCTGTCTCAATGTTACATGTGAATGCCAAGCTGTTCTGATGGGCAAAGCTTGATGATGAATTCTGCACAGAAAAACTAACAGCAGTAAGCTGCCAGGACTGAGGGCTAATCTACCTTTGCTATCTCAATACAAGGTCATGTATATCTGACAGTAGCAGTTGATTTGTGTGCTCAGTTGTCAGTCACTCAGTTCAGTATGATTTAGTGGCAGCACTGTGAAATGAGGCACAAAACGCCTCATGGCAACTTGATGTCAACAGTTTCTCAGTTTCTTCTGAACTCATAAGCCTCAACCTTAAGAATGTTGTTCCAGGCCAAACAATGCCACCACTGAACACTAGTGACACTTGTAGGTTTGGCCATTCAGAAAGAGTTGATCTCCCACGCCAAAAACATCGGTGTGTGTGGCCAACACAAATTCTGCCTGCGGTCTGCAAACACACTGTTGTTTTTCAGATCTGTAAATATCATAAATCTCTGTGGATTGGTGAGCCATAACAAAGTCTGCACTCCAGACTCCGAACATGGGATAGATTTTATCTCTTTTCATGTGTCTGCAAAGAATTAAACCACAGATCACATTTATTAGAGTATTTGCCAACTCATCTAGAAGGAGTCCGGACTTCAATATAAACATTTAAGTAATTAAAGATCATCTCTAGTCTGGGGAAAAAAATATTATCTTGAAACTAAGAGCTGTTAAAATTATCAAGTATATTCACTTTTACTTTCTTTACTTGGTATGGAGGAGCAATTTATCTGCAATCCTCGACCTGACACCCTCAGCAGAAGGTCAGAGCACCCTGCCCATGTTCCACTTTGTAGGATGCTTTAATAATGGAGTTTAGCTTACGTTTTTGATTTTTGCTTCTACAATATTGCTCAGACACTTTAGTGATTTTTAGAAGCATACTACATTGTGATCAGCTATAACAGAACCAGGCAGCATAGTAATATTGTTAGCCACTTGGTTCCTAGAACCTATATCTGTCTCTTCATCCCCAGAAAGTATTTGGAAACACACAGCATGGTCACTAACCACTTCCCACATTTTTAGAAATGAGCTCCAAACGCAACTGAACTCAATGAGGGAAGTTTATCAAAACTGGAGCAGACGAAATCTGGAGCAGCTGTGTATGGCAACAAATCAGCTTCTCTCCTTCATTTTCAAATGTTAACTGAACAAAGTGAAGAGAGAAGCTGATTGGTTGCCATGCACAGCTGCCCCAGTTTTTGTCTGCTCCAGTTTTGATAAACTCCCCCCAATGTAGTGTGCATGAGAGCTAAGTCAGGGTTCGCCAGAAAAGTGAATATACACCTTCCTTTACAACGTGAGATTAGTTTATGTTGAGGCTCTTCAGAGGAAACCACGTCTAAACAATCAGTAGATCCAGAGCCAATCGGCAGAAAGCTGTGTGTAAATCTCAGTTTATAAGTTATATAAAAGTCCATGTCAAAGTGTACATTAAAAAGTGAGAGCGGGAAGTCTGCTACCTAATGTTACTTTGGTTGGAATGTTAATGTACTGCAAACCATAAATCAAATCCTTGCAGCAAATACAATGTAAACATTGCTGTGCATAATTATATATCATGCTTGGACTTTTCCACATTTACCTCTGGAAGGTGGCAGTATACCCACAGGTTCAGCGCTGTGCCCTCCTATGAATGCTGGAGCAGTTTTGTTTAGCTTTGGTTAGAGTAGGAAATGGTTAGAACCTCTGTATTATTTATTTTTTTGCTATCTGTGTCTTGTTAGGGAAGTGAGAAGAAATTTGTCAAAACTTCCCTATCTCCCTATAGACAGCTGTTACCGTGTTACCAGCTATAGAGGACTACAAAACCCAGCAATACTACATTATAGCTGGCGGTATTCTGCATTGTGCTGTATAATGTACTATTGCTGGGTTTTGTAGTCCTCTATAGCCTGCGCCATTCTGCATTCATTGCTGTATAATTTAACACTTTTCATTTCACTATATTGCACACCACTTTTTTTTTTCTTTTTTACTTCCACCGCTGCACGCTTGCGCCTGTGATGGACTGCAATCTCAATACAAACTAGTAGTCCCATCACTGGAGCCATTTTTAAAATGTATTTTTTTATCCGATTAATCGAACTTAATAATCGGCTAACTAATCGATTTTGAAAATAATTGTTAGCTGCAGCTCTAGATGGAAGCTAGTTCAGTTTAGCTTTGTCAGATCTTTGGTATTTATCATGCGATTTGTTTGGGTATAATCTTTGGGCCTTCCACAAACAGGGATATTCGTTTTGCGATTATGTGACATTTTAACGAAGAACTTGGTTTAATTTGTTTCCATCCGCCTTTTACCTTTTATGCTGGGTTATCCTGAACAAATATACTCGCACGCCCAGTGAAGCTAGCGCTATTCTGCTGTGATCTGCCACAACGCAGTTGCATATCTGATTCCATACTTTCATCTGTCTTTTGTCATCTTTAGGCGCCACCTGTCTCCTTCTGGTTCTTGCAGCTGGCTTCCTGATGATGCAGCCCATGGTCCTTCCTCAGTGGATGCCTCCTGGGATATCCGGCACGGTTTTCCCAAGAGGCTTGGAGGAGCTCTGCTGGAGCAGAGTGATGTCATTCTTGCCATGGCAAGAATGGAAGAAGCAGACGGGATGGACCATAAT